TTATTTTTAAAAAGCAAAATTATCATAAATAAAACAAAATAAATTAAAATGATTTACTAATTATAAAAATTTAAATATTAAAAAGTTAATACATAAACTGTTTTCCAATATATAACGTATTTTTAATATGGACTCGTTCTAAAAAATATTTTTGACCGAGGTTATTTAAAACAATTAAAAATATTATTTGTAAAGCTTTTTTAAAACATAAATTATATAAATAATAGTTTGAAATCTAAATTTAATTTACTAAACGAATTTAATCTAAATTCTTAAATATATTCATTTGCGTTTGCTTCAATGCATAAATTGTGTTACTTTTTATTTACACACAATTAGAGGAGACAAGGATAAGTTGTCATCCTTAAGCTCTAATTAAATCTCAAAGAAAATATTCACCATACAATTTTATTAGAAAACTTCTTGATATATTTAAAACAATTGATAAAAAGTTCATTATTTAAAACTGATTATTAATTAATTTAAAAAAGTCAATTTCTAATACTTTTTTAACGGGAATGTTAAAATTCTATTGTTTAATTCAAGTATTCCTAAAAAATAACTAAATATATATAACCTAATTAAAAGGGAGTCATCTCCTGCAAAACTTAAATGTCAACTCGTCGCACTTTCTCTGATTGAATTATATATTTATCTATTTATCAATGTCGTACCGATATTATTCATATAATATACAAACAGTTTTTTATATGTCAAAATATAGTTTATAAAATTACTATTTCACAATACGTAATTAAAAAGTAATTTTTTTTTAATAATTACAAATTTCATTAGATTTTAAATTAGATTGGTATCAAATCAGTTAAGACAAAATAAGATGTTTAAATTAGGTACATAAGTAAAATAGTATTTTATTTTTAATTTAATGATCATTTGCTTTTTTTAATCAATCATTCCATTAAAGAAAATTCGTATTTTTGCGTGAATAAATAATTAATAAATTATATTTTAAATTACAATTGTTCATATATTATTAAAGTACACAATAAAAGTTCATTTTTGATCATGTTTTGAAATACGCTTGTAAGAACTTATAAAAACACTTGTTAGAATTATTCCATTAATTCAAATTTCTTTAGTTAGTATATAGTTTATTTCAAAACTGATTAATTGTTATTGATAAAATATTTTGAAATTTAAAAATTGTTAAATATTCTTTTAAAATAATAATATGTTACTCAATAAATGTAAGTTAATACTTTTTTTTATTCAAATAATCAACCAATCAATATGTGTTGATCTAAATAACATTACACGGGAGGACATAGACACTCTTGAAAAGGAATACAAAGATATGAAATTTGTCAAGCTTATGGAACATCCTTATTATATAAAATCACGCAATGAGGATAACTTTTGTCCAGTGCCTTACAGTCACTTAGTAGATTATCATGACATTTCTTATGAAGGTATAAATATAATAAATAGAAGTTTGCAGGATGTGGTTTCTAACTGTGTGACAGGGGGAAAATATAAATTGGCTTATACGATTTTTTTGAACGCTATTGAAAGTATGGTCATTACATACATGTATCGGTTCTGCGAGTTTGCAATAGAAATGAATAAAAAACATTCTGAAATATCATTTTACTTAAAAGTATTAAGTAATAGACTTGCTGAACTTATACCGATAATTAATAGAGAATGGATTTCTCCTGATCCGTATGAATGTATTTTAGATGTTTACAAAAGTCACAAATCTGAGGAATACAAATTTAATGAAGTAAACACAAATTACAGAAATGCTTTATTAATCTGCATGGAGTTAATGAAAGATAAAGTGCACTTTTTAAAAGAACCTAAAAAAGTAACAATGAATGAATTGACTGTAAATCGATTGAAACAATACCAAGATATGAGTAATCGAGTTATTAGTCGTCATTTGACTTTAAAAAGTGGTCCTACTTACAAAGATATAACTGGAGATTTATGTAAGAAAGAAAGTTTTTTTTTATTTTTCAAAATCACAAATTATACTATAATTATGTAATTGGTAAAAAAATACGTTTGAGAATCTACTCTTCAAAGTTGTCTGCTATAGTTTTTAATTAGTTTTAAAAGCGTTAAAAAAATACTTAAAATGCTTTTCAACTGAAGATTAAAATTTAACTTTTAGAAATTATTACCGATAAAAGTATTTAACAATTGTTTCTTTTTTTTTTCTGTAGATCAAACCTCTTGTACAAGCNACTGTAGATCAAACCTCTTGTGCAAGCTGTAAGGAAGAAAACACTGGTACCACTAATGAAATTTACATTTGGTCACCATGTGGACACGGCTGGTGTTGTGATTATTGTAATGACAAATTTCGTAGAGGCAAATTGTCAAAATGTCCAGTATGTTTTCAAAAGTTTATAAGTACTCAAGATCTAAATATACGAACATCTGTGTCAATAGTTACTGAAAGTATATATATTATAATTACTTATTGAAACATTAATGAAATAAAATATTAGAAGCGTTTTTAGCTTCGATGCGAAGCTGAGAAGGTATTGGTTTTACTAAGATGTGTTTTTTTTTTGTGTCTGTTACCACTTTTTCTCAGCTCACACCGAACCGATTTCTTTCAATGAAACGTCAAAAGATCACAAATCGTATCTAATCGAAGACATTACCCTTAAAAATTGAAAAAAATTCCCTCGTTCCCCGTAAATGGGGGAAACCTCCAAAAAAATTACAAATTTAAAAATGGCTAATTTCCGAAATTTTTTCAATTTTTTTACTAAAAACTGCCATAACTTTTTCAAAAATGAACATATCAATATAATTCATTTTTTTATAGATGCTTGATGCCATTACCTATCATTTGGTATATTTTTTTTTATATCTGACCTTTAACCTGCCCACAAGGGGGGATTTAAAATGACAACTTTT